GATAATTTCAGTATTGAGACGCTAACAGAAAAAAATGATGAAAAAATATTCCTCCACATTTCGTTACAGGTGCGTGGGAGTCTGGTGTTAGCGTTATTCGGAGTCAGTTGTACTAGTTAATTCCTCCCTGGCCTCTCCCCAGGTCCCTCATTGCCATCGTCAACAGTCCCTATGTAGAGCACTACAATAGAGATCCCTGGAAATGTGCTTTCTCCCACTTATTCCAGACTGTGGGTTACCTAAGGGGGGAATTCATTCAATGCCATTAGCAAGGAACTGCTAATGCAGCCTCGAAACCCCATACTGTTTACGTGCCACGCAGCTCTGTGATGAGGGTGCCATTGTGAGGAATCTAAGCCGAGCCTCTAGCGGCCCAACACGGGGCCGCAGCTCTGGCTGCAGCCCAGGCTCCAGCTGTACTGGTGATGAGAATGCAGACTGTCCTTAACGAAGGGGAAGCCTGAAGAGGGATTTGGAACTAAGAACTAATTAGAACTGTGTTGTTTCACACTCTATAAGGGGGCTGTAAAACCCAAGAAAGTGGTGCTTATTTTTGCCAACGGATTCTGAAGAACGAGGGAGAATGAAGCCAGAGAATGATCCAAATACTGCCACCAGGGAGATCCACAAAGTACTTTACATACGTTCTCTTGTTTGAGCCTCACAACCACTCTGGGACGCAGGAACTACAGGTATTACTATCCCCACTTCACAGGTGGAACACTGAGGCTCAAAGAGCCCAAATCACCCACACTCACCCAGCTAAGGTTCCAGCTGTCGTTCCTCCTCCGTTTTTGAAGAGCACCGCTGACCTCACAGGTGGCGTCTTGCCTCACTGGTCAATTAGACTTAAGTGAGGCAGAGCTGCATAGAGTCATCAGCCTCACTCTCCCTTCCAGAGTCATCGAAGTCCAGGCAGGACAAAAGTCAAGATGACTGACAGGTGATGGCCTGGGAGGTACTGAATGACCTCGATGTCTTCGATGTCTGACCAAGCTCTAAGTGCTCCACTGTGCCTGCTTCAGCTGCCTCCATGGCCTATTCCACTGGGGGAAGTATTCACATGTTTGGGGTAGACATCCCCTTAACTCACTGATGGGTTTGAGGCTTCTCAGTCATCCCCAATCTAGCTGAGCTCATCTGCCAAGGCAGTTGTACTAGGGTATGGGCGCTGCACCTACTTTGGCTTCTTGGAGCCACAGATGAGAATTAGGGGATGAGCAGCCCTGAAAAGGGCTCAGTAGGTCCTCACATCAGAGGTGCCAGACCTCCTGAATACCCCATACACCCACAGTTAAGTAAGCACAAGAGGCAAGACTCCACTGTCCTCTTGATGAAGGAAACAAATGAATTTCAGTAAAGTAATAGGTTAAAGGAAATACTGACTCATGAACCCCGCTTTCTTTATGTGCTCCCATTTTTGTATATCAGAATTATCATGGTTTTCCTCAACCAGGCAGTCTGTCTCAGCAATTGCACTGTTTCAGCAGTGGCATCATCATCTGAACTGTGGAAGGGGATGGCTGTCCTCTCCAACAGAAGCCTGGAAAGGTCAGGGCTATGCTCTCAAACGTCATCTGCATTCTGGAGCTATTATACTGCTTTAAACTCAAGCTGCTAAGCCCATTTTCACCAGTGACATTGTTTGGAAAAATGAACTCCAATAACTGACTCTCCCCAGCTTTCTTTATTCTACACTAAATGGATGTCTTTGAATCTGAGCACTGTGCCCTTAGCTAGTTCTAAAATGGGAGATTCATCCAGCCAGGCTCCAGGTAGCTTATAAACAGAGAGAGGCCTCATCCCTTAGGAGAGACTTTGGTAAATGCCTCAGTCACATCAAGGTCCACTAGGACCTCCTGCCAATTCCCCACTTCCAGAGTCCTCTTCCTAAAAATGTAAATGAAGTGGGTTTGGGATGATGGTCTGAGTGAAAGTGTTCTGGTTCCTGGTAATCCCCACACTCTCTTCTAAAGACTCACAAACCTTTTGGTTTCTGAAACCAAAATTTTAGACAATGTCTTCATTTTCCAGTCTCCTGGCACCTTGGATGCAATTTGTCCAAGCCTAGAGACCTGAAATCCTTCAGAAGGCCTCAATTTATTTTATCTTACTGCTGTATCTAGACTAGAGCTCAATTTAATTCTTCCTTAGTGAATTTCATCTTTGTATCTCCTACCTTTGTAGCTCCTACAGAGCCTTGAAAGGACTGCAAGAGGTTAAGGACAATGGGCCCAGTCATTGCCAAATGAGAGGGGCAGGATCTCAACTTTCCTGCTATCAGTCCAGCCTCCTTTCCTCTACTCCACTCTATCTATCTATCTATCTATCTATCTATCTATCAATCAATTGATTGATTGGTCAATCTGTAGTGTGGAGAAGAAGAAAGAGGGCCACACTTGGTATCAGGGAAGGGACAGAGAGAGAGAGAGAGAGAGAGAGAGAGAGAGAGAGAGAGAGAGAGAGAGAGAGAGAGAGAGAGAGAGAGAGAGATACAGAAACAAACTCTGCCACAGAACACCTGCACACTGACCAAAATTCAGACAACAAATAGGAAGCAGGATTAATTTTTTTAAATTTGCCTGAGTTACAGACTTGCTATTTGTTCCAGCAATATGGTCTTTCACTTCAGCTGGTCATCCATGTCATGTGAGCATCTGTCACCCATGCCTGCTGGCAGGTTTAGATCAAGTCATGCATGAAAGTGCTGACTCATAACAGGGCTGTTGAGGGAGATACGGGCACTGTTTCGTTTTACACAATGTAATGTAATGTTTATCATACATGGCTATGGTAGCAAAGGGGGCAAACCCTCTGAGAAGTTTCATAAAATCCTAAGTAAATCAGACCTTTGTGATAAGTCTGTATTCACTCTTTTCAAAGTCTGATCCCAGTTTGTGTTTGTTTAGACAAATGTACATACAGGGCTCCCATTAAGGTCACAAGAAGCCATGGGTTCTTTTACAGGTGGTGACAATCCTTATCATGAAATGGTACTGACTTTAGAACCTTTGGCACCCAATTTAGGTAAAGATCAGTAGGGTTCAATTTCTTTCAAGCAACGCATAAAAGCCTTTTTTTAAAAAAAATTACATTAACTACTTTAAAAATAGAAGTGGCAAAAAGTGAATGGAGTAATAGGAAAAACAATAAACCCACTCTGTTCTCTGCCCAAGTATCCAAATGCAGATCCAGGAATATTCGTATCTATCAAGAAATTATTGTTATAAAAACCATAGGGACTCTGTGATTGCTCTTTCTTGATTTGCTGAGGAGGCGACTTAAAAACAGAGCTTGACATTTCTCTTGAAGGCCATTATTTTAAAATAAATACAATCACATATGCAACTTGCTGAATGTTTCTAAAATGTGTCCATGTGCACCAGGAATTTTACCTGGGGCCATTTTTCAGGGATCCAGGTGGATCCAGAGGAAAAGTTCTGACCTCTAGGCAGCTTATGCCTTTTATTAGTTTTTATACATGTATGAACTAAACTAGTTTTTACTTGAAAATGTCATTACCAGCATTTATACAACTATGAGGTTTCATGCTAAACAGCTGAACTGGGGCCAATCCCAAGTCTTTTGACTAAAACTCTTTTCAGGTCAAGGAGGGAGACGAGGGCATTTGAGGTGGGGAAATGGTGCATCTGGCTCACTTCACTTATTTCAAAAGTTCTTCCATGAAAATCATTCTGAGGAGGTCTTTTTTATTTTTTTAAAGCTGAGAGGAATCAGATAGAGACATGACATGAAATGCTTCAAGTCTGCTTTCATTAGTGAATGTCATCATGTACCATTAAGAAGAAGCACCCATATCAATGATATTCATATACATTAATTTATTTCATTTTCAAATGATCTAATTAAACTTCTTGCCTCAACTTAACCTGTCAGTACCTCCGAAAATTGCCCACCCTTCCAACCAACAGCTGTGTTAATAATGCTTATAAACAGCCTAAAAACTGTGCAATTGTTAGCATCCTTGGACCCCTTTCCCTGATTGCCACCATCACTGCAGATGTGGAAGGGGCCTTCCAGGCCTCAGGGCCACTTGAGATTTTCTTTGTTTCACGGGTTTTCATAGCCAAACAAAACCCACTACCAACCTACGAGCCTCTTGGTGACTGGGCTCTCCATATTTATTCCAGCCAGACAGGTTCTCAGCAAACAAGCAGAGTCTGTTGCCAGGACTGCAGAAGACATCGAGTATAGGATGGGAAACAAATACAGGCCTTGACAGAAAATGCTAAGGATTCTTGCTAGGGCTCCTGAATGGTTAAGAGCCCTCCCCTTCCCTCTCTATTAATCCCATTGCCCCTAAAACCTATGTAACCCAGTAGACTTATACCCCACCCCAGCTACACAAAGAGGAAGACGCAGGGTTTCTAGAAAGTAAGGTACCCCCTATGGCTCCCTAATGAGTAAAAACCAAAATCATTGGCCCCATTGCTCTTCTGTCAAGAGCTCCCACTACACCTCATTGTCTTCTTCTCTTCCTTGCTGAACTGCCATAACTCTCTTTCCAGCTTGATCTCATTTACACCAGGAGATAAAAGTACCTGCCCCTAGAAATAATACCTTGCTTCCTATGAATCCAAGAGATGACATAACAAGGTGAATCTCACACCCCAGGTTGAGTATGGTCTGGAGCAGTCTGCTTTGGCTACAAAACACTTGGGTATATATTCTTCTTAACCTAGAAGTGTATGGGGCAGCTAGGTGGCACAGTGGATAGAGCTCCGGCCTTGAAGTCAGAAGGACTTGAGTTCAAGTCCGGCCTCAGATACTTGAACTCACTAGCTGTGACACCCTGGGCAAGTCATTTAACCCCATTGCCTAGCCAAAAAGAAAAAAGAAAAGAAACCTAACCTAGAAATGTACCATGGGTACTCTGGTAATTATAAAGGAAGGTAAGTTCCAGAGGCTGGTTATTTGCATTTATATATTTCTGATTTCTTCCTAAAAACAAAAGAAAACAAAAAAAGCTTCTTTCTTACCTAGTACTTCCTTTTGAAGGTCATGGCATCTGTTTAGCAAGCCTGCTCCTTGCTGGCCTATCACCTGAATCTGTTGTGATTTCAACAAAGCCGTGTCTGATACCATCTTCAGATTCTTCACTTCTTCCTCCAGGCGCACCTTATCTCGCTGGACTGCTGTTAACATTTTATTCAGATTGGCCATTTCTGTAAAGAAAAATCAGTATTAATAGGTGTGCATGGCTGGATGCTGAACCATTTCTCTACAAACTCTGGTTGGTTGATCGTAAGATCAACTTAAGACTTTTCTGAGGGTAGGATGACACCTGTTGAAGAGGTATCTATTTCGTTCCCTAAAAGAAACCAGGACAAAAGGTCCCAAAGTTACAGACACTACTCAGGCAATTCTTAGTAGCCTAGATCATTATTAAATGCCCCTGGAGCATGCTTATTTAATGTTGACATTCTTGAGAAATAGAATGTGCATCATGTCCTAGGCTTCCTACAATTTAGACTGCTTTTCTGGAAGCAAGGTCCATAAAAATAAATATAAATGAATAGTCCTGTGATAGACTAGATGGGGGATGGGAATCACTAATGGAGTAATAAGGGTAAATGACAGATACATTATAAAAATGGAGAGAAAAATATGAGTTCCTATACATGGCAGTCCAGTACAAAGTGGCCAGGAAGAAGATTCCCAAATAGCCTAAGAACGTACTCCCAGAAATAAGGAAGTGATGCTCCTTCTATTCTCTGCCCTCCTCTGAAGCACCATGCTCCATTCTGGCCACCACAGTGGAAGAGGGATGATGACAAACTAAAGAACATGAAGAGAAGGGTAACCAGAACAGTGAAAGGCTTTGAGTCTGTGTTATCTAAGGTTTCAGTTAAGGAGCTGGGGATGCTAAGGCTGGAAAAGAGAAGTCTTAGGGGGACATGATGGCTGTCTTCAAGGACCTGAAAAACTGTCTCATGGAGGAGGGATAAGGCTTGTTCTGACTGACCCCAGGAGCAATGAGTAGAAGATGACAAGAGACAAATGTAGGTGCAAGGTCTGGAAAACCGTCCTACCAATAAGAGCTGCCTAAAGAGGAATGGGCTGCCAGGAGAGGTGATGGGGGATAGATGACCTCTTGTAGAGTAGGACAACATGGGCATTTCCTTTTAGGTCTAGGTCAGAGTTGATGACCATTGAGGCTCCTTCCATGTCTTGGGTTCTATATTTGGGTGCCATGTCAGAGAAAAGAATTCATTGCAAGTACTAATGCTGTTTTCCTTCCCTGACTATGAAGCATTGTATCAAATTGGGAGTAGGGCTTCATTCCACAGAATCACAAGGGAAAACACACAGTTTTTAATTAATGACCCAACACTTTTTCTAAAAGCAATTTGACATGTAAATTAGGTTCTTGAACAATAATGTGGAAATGTGTTTATAAAGACTGATTGATTCTGGGAGCAAACTCAATGTAGATGATGACAATACTTCACCAGACATTCACTCAATCCCCGGCCCAACTTGATTCTGCTGACCCGCGCTATTCACTGCCACCACGTCGGTTAAATTTGCTGTAATATGGAGCAGGTCTCGGAGACTAAAGAGGCAGCCACAGGAGACGAGTCAGTGACCACAACAAACAATGAAACAGTATGGCAACAAGGGGCAGGGAAAGGGTGGGAATCAGCATGTGGTTATAGCAGTGGCAATGCAAGCTGAGAGTAGGACCAGAGTTCAGAAACCATATACAGATGGCCAAAGAGTCTAGGAATATGGACCAACATGATGTGGTATGGCTTTGCCTGGGTAGAAGATATCTGGTGGGAGAAAAACTGGAAGAAACCAGGGAAATGGGGTTGGGTTCAAAATTTTCAACCGGTTTTCAAGTCCTGGAGATCAAAATGGGTAGAAGCTAAAAAGGTAAAGGTAAATTTACTACTGCTATCTTATACATTGAAAGATTATAGAACCCACTAATTGTGTCATGAAAACCACTAATTTATCCTAAGTCACAGTTTCAAAAAGGCTGTACTTTGTTCTTAAAATAAATATTAAAGAGAAGAAAGCTGGTATATCTTTGTAACTAAAATTTCTTTTGAGTTTTTAAACAGCTATAAATGCAGCTTCTTTTGGCTGAATAAACTGTGCTGTACCCTAACAATTTCTATCTATGTATAAGTCAGAATGACACTGAAGAGGACAGAGGGCACACACTGATATGGATTTATCATCTGGTAAAATAACACTAGTGGGTTTGCATGCTGACTCTGGAAATGTACAGTGCTATCAGTCACTAAAATAACTCCTTATGTCAATGTGACTTTCTATCTGACATTAGAAGGAAAGGAATCTGTAACACACATTTACGTCAATTTTATTCCCACACATGGAAAACTACTGTAAGATCTCAATACTTATTGTTAGGAGTTAGTTGTGGTGTCTCTGTCGCTAGATCAAGATTAAGGGGGCGAGGCTACACCTACAGAGATGAATTCACTTCCCCTACACAGTGTCCTTGACCGTGGGGGACTGTCAACAAGTAAACAGCAATTCCCATTCATGGGACTACTTGGGTTTAGCTAGCTTAATGGAGCAAGCCTCCAACACGTTCCTGCTTTTCTACCAGAAATATGTGCTCACTTATTACCTTGAAATCATGGAAATGATCATTATCTGTAATGTCTACTTTCTGCTAATACTCCTCCCTCCTCTCAAAGGGCCAGTCACCACCCAGGCATTCCTTCTCATCCTGAGTGACTCTTGATTGTCTGCGGCCTCCCCAAAATCTTCCCTAGAGGATTTCCTGATGTGCTGGAGGCTTGTAGCCTCTAGAACCTGCTCTAGAACTTGAAGCCTTCCTTGGGTATAAGTGTAATGCCGAGATGGCCTCTTGGCTACCCCCTGTTCACACTGTGTGACATCCTCTTCTCTTCCATCGCTTCCACTCCAGCTGACACTGATTATTATGCCATGGCTTTGGAACTTAAGAGACAGCTATGCCAGGTGTTTGAGCCTCAACCAGTAAGTGCCCATTATGTGTCAGGCACTGTGCCAAGGGCTAGGGATACAAAGATAGGCAAAAGACAGGCCCTGTCCTCAAGAATCTTACAATCTAATGGGGGAAAAACATGCAAATAAATACATACAAATTGAACAATATAAAAGATAAATAGGGAAGAATTAACAGAGGGAAGGCACTGGAATTAAGGGGGGTTGGGAAAGGCTTTCTATAGAAGATGGGATTTTAGTTGGGACGTAAGGAAACTAGAGAGGTCAGTAGGGGGAGTACAGGAAGGAGAGTGTTCCAGGCATGGAATACAGCCAGGGAAAACGCCAGGAGCCAAGAGATGGAGTGTCCTGCTCATGGAACAACCAGGTGGCCAGTGACACCAGACTAAAGACCACATGTCAGGGAGTAAGGTGTAAGAAGACTGGAAAGGTGGGAGAGGGTTAGGTTATTAAGGGCTTTGAATGCCAAACAGAGCATTTTGTTCTTGATCCTGGAGGCAATAAGATGCCACGGGGGTCTATCGAGCAGGTGGTGACATGACTGGACCAACATTCTAGGAAAATCACTTTGGTGGCTGAATGAAAGATGATTCAAATGAGGAGAGACCTGAGGCAAGCAGACCCACCAGCAGCTATTGCTGGCACTGAGGTGATGAGGGCCTGAAAGTGGGCAGGGGAAACATCAGAGGAAAGAAGGGGTATCTTGGAGAGATGTTGCGGAGGTGAAATCTACAGGCCTTGGCAACAGAACAGATATTGGGGGGAGGAGGGGAAAAGGGATAGTGAGGGATCCAGGACAACTCTTAGTTAGAGAGCCTGAGAGACTAGAAGGATGGCATTACCTCTAGTCCATAGTCAGAGGGAAGGTAGGAGGTGGGGAAGGGTTTAGAGGGAAAGATGATGAGTTTCATTTTGGACATACTGAGTTTAAGATCTCTACTGGACATCCTGTTGGAGATGTCTGAAAGGCAGTTGGAGATACAAGACTGGAGGTCAGCAGACAGTCTGGGGCAGGATAGGTAGGTTGGAGAATCATTAGCATAGAGATGGTAAGTAAATCCATGGAAGCTGATAAGAAAAGGACCCAGGGCAGAACCCTGATGGACACCTATGATTAGAGGGCATGATCTGCAAGAGGATCCGACAAAGGAGATGGAGAAGAAGCAGTCAGATAGGTAGGAAGGTAATCAGCAAAGAGTGATGTCCCAAAAACCCAGACAGAAGAGAGTATTGAGGAGGAGAGGGTGATCAACAGCGTCAAAGGCCACAGAGAGGTCAAGGAGAAGGAGGACTGAGAAAAGGCCACGGCGACTGAGAGTTCTTTGGTAACTTTGGAGAGAGCAGCTCTGGTGGAATGAAAAGGTCAGAAGCCAGATTGTCAGGGGTTAAGAAGAGGGTGAGAGGAGAGAAAACATTGCTTGGCATAGTCACCACTGAAAAACTGTCATCATCTACTTGGACCCACTCCCCATGGATGTGGCCTTTTGGATTCTAAAGTGATTATTATTTTATAAGAATTTAAAATTTACAGTTGTGTTAGAAAGCTGAGCTTTGGATTAATTATGGTACATGAATATAATGAAATATTAGCTGCATTGTAAGAGACAATGACCATGAAGAACTCATAGATTAGGATAGGAAGATTTAAATAAAGCAATGCAGAGGGAAGTAAGCAGAACTGGGAGAATAATATGCTCAGTGAATACAACCAATCTTTGATAAAGGGCTGATATTAAATATACATACACACATAAGTATATACATACCCACATATAATATACATGTAAATATATGCAACTAATACAAATATATAAAACTAAGAGCCATTCCCTAAAGGATAAGTTGTCAAAGGATGTGAATAAACTGTCTTCAAAGGAAAAATTGCAAACTATTAACAACTATATAGAAGATTACTTCAAATCGCTAATAATTAGAGAAATGCAAATCAAAACAACACCAAGGTTTCACTTCACTTTATTCACTTCATTTTACTCACTAATCATCAGTGTTGAAGAGATCAGCAAACTAATACACTGTTGGTGAAGTACATCTTTGGTCCAAATATTCTACAAGACAACTTGGAACTAGGTTTAAAAAAAGCAACCTGCCCTTGGACTCAAAGTCCACTTGAAGACATCTACCCCAAGAGGGCCAGAGAGAAAGAAATGTTCTTATAGCAATCCTTCCTGAATTAGCA